TCGGGCATCCCTGGGGGACTCCCATGGGGCCCCCGGACCAACCTCACGGTGAATTGCCGATCGCCCAGGGGCCCACGGCGCTCCTACGGGCGAAAAAGCGTCTCCTGGCGACTCGGGCCTCCCTGGGGAGCTCCCAGTGCCCCCCAGACCAACCTCACGGTGAATTGCCGATCGCCCAGGGGCCCAGGGCCCCCCTAGGGGCGAAAAGACGTCTCCTGGCGACTCGGGCCTCTCTGGGAAGCCCCCAGGGCTCGCCCAGACCAACCTCACGGTGAATTGCCGATCGCCCAGGTGCCCAGGGCCTCCCTAGGTGCGAAAAGACGTATCCTCGCGACTCGGGCCTCCCCGAGGGGCTCCCAAGGTTCCCCAAACCAACCTCACGGTGAATTGCCGATCGCCCAGGGGCCCAGGGCCCTCCTAGGAGCGAAAAGACGTCTCCTGGCGACTCGGGCCTCCCTGGGGGGGGGGGCTCCCAGGGGCCCCCAGACCAACCTCACGGTGAATTGCCGATCGCCCAGGGGCCCAGGGCCCCCCTAGCGGCGAAAAGACGTCTCCTGGCGACTCGGGCTTCCCTGGGGGGCTCCCAGAGCATCCCAGACCAACCTCACGGTGAATTGCCAATCGCCCAGGAACCACCCAGGAGCCCCCCAGGAGCCCCCCAGGAGCCTTTCAGGAGCCCCCCTGAGGGCCTTCCAGGGCCCTCCCAAGGCCTTCCAAGGCACCCCAGGCGCCCTTCACGGTGAATCAGCTGCCGCCCAGTGCCCAGGGCGCTCCTGGGCGCGCCAGCTGGATTTCGTAGTTCCAGAGGAGCGGTATCGGCGGAGCGAGCGAAGCGAGCGGAGCCGGCGCCACAAGCGCACAATCAAACGCCCGCGCGGCGTTTCACCCCAAACCCTTTCCCCCGACGTGAAGCGTCAACCCTAAACCCTGGATTGCGCATATCTTAAGACTCAAGTGGGTATCTGTGTACGTGTGATTCAGACAACAGTTTATGTCGTACGCATGAGAAAGATGGCCAAACCTATTGGAATCGTGGGGCCCTAAGAGAAAGAGAACCTCGACTACCGAATGAACCCTAAACCCTAATAGAGAAAGCCGTGGGTGGTTCGCCGCCCTAACGGGCGCGGGGTGGGAATGTTAAAAGGGGAGCTGGCCCCGTTGCCGAAACATGATTCCGCTCAACACGATGTCACCACAACACGACTACCCCACCCCCACTCCATTTTATGGGTGGGGGTGGTCTTACACGATTGATGATCAGCAAGCGCTGACAGAGGACACCCTAAACCCTAAACTCGCCCAGGGCCGCTTGGCCCGTATCCACCCACCCATTTAGGCGGCAAGCGCCCTAACTGGCACCTCGCAGTCAGACTACCTCACGGCCGTACGTGAATAACAGGCCAGCCCAGTTGAGTCTCGGTTGCCGTCAGGCATGGCCCGCGAGGGCCTTATCTCATTATCAATGATGCGGCTTACGCGCAAGCGATTAACCTGTGCCCGCCTGGGCGATCGTCAAAGAGACTTATAACCCCAAAACATCAGACTAATTCACCGTGGCGCTGGTCGGGCCCCTCCTGGAGCGCCAACATGAAATCTGCAAACGAGTATGGATCAGCACTAGCAATTTTTTTTTTCGACCTCGTATCTTAAACTTTTTCAATGTGCCATCCCGATCGGCCGGCTGGCAAAAGACGTTTCCTGGCGAATCGGGCGCCGCAGGACCGTTTCCTGGCGACTCGGGCGCCCTAGGGTGCCCTCAGACCAGCGCCACGGTGTATTGGACCCCGCCCAGGGGATCTGGGGCCCCCTGAAGGCCCAAAGACGTTTCCTGGCGACTCGGGCCACCGCGGAGTGGTACATGGGCCCACCCAAACCAGCGCCGCGGTGAATTAGCTCCCGCCCAGGGGCCCTGGGGTCCCCTGAGGGCCCAAATACGTTTCCTAGCGACTCGGACCCTCCCGCGGGGTGGTCTCTGGCCCCCCCCCACACCAGCGCCACGGTGAATTAGCTCCCGCCCAGGGGCCCTGATGCCCCCTGAGGGCCCAAGGACGTCTCCTGGCGACTCGGGCTCCTGCGGGGTGGCCCCGGCCCCCCCCCCCCCCCAGACCAGCGCCACGGTGAATTAGCTCCCGCCCAGGGGCCCTGGGGGGCCGGCTTGGTGTCATCGTGTTTACTGGCGACTGGGCCAATCTCTGGGGTGGTCACTGGCCCCCCCAGACCAGCGGCCACGGTTGAATTAGCTCCCGCCCAGGTGCCAGGCGCCTTTGAGGGTCCCAGATACGTTTCCTAGTTTGGGACTCGGGCTCCCGCGACCTTCTCTTCGTCACGTCAAAACCATGCGACCCCCCGCCGCCACGGTTTGGAATTAGCTCCCAACCAGGGGCCTTGAGGTCCCCTGAGCGCCCGCGACGTCTCCTGGCCGCCTCGGGCCACTGCGGGTGGTCCTGACCCCCCCCGACAGCGCCCGGTGAATTTAGCTCCGCCCAGGGGGCACTGGGTACACCCGAGGGCCCAAAATACGATTCTGCGACTAGGGCCACCGCTGAGGGGTTCCCTGGGCCCCCCCCCAGACCAGCGCCACGGTGAATCAGCTCTCGCCCAGGGGCCCTGGGGTCTTATCGACCATCTATTGTGAGGGGCCACAGAAGGCCTTTCGGACCCCCCTCGGAGCTTATCGACCATCTATTATGAGGGGCCGCAGAAGGCCTTTCGGACCGGTGGTCCCTGCCCCCCCCAGACCAGCGCCACGGTGAATTAGCTCCCGCCGCGGAGCCCCGGGGTCCCCTGGGGGCCCAAATAGAACTCTGGCGACTCGGGCCCCCGCGGGGTGGTCACTGGCCCCCCCACCAGACCAGCGCCACGGTGAATTAGCTCCCGCCCAGGGGCCCTGTGGTCTTATCGACCAATTATTGTGAGGGGCCAAAGATCGCCTTTCGGACCACCCTCGGAGCTTATCGGCCATCTATTGTGAGGGGCCACAGATCGCATGTCGAACCCTCCCAGGGCTTATCGACCAACTATTGTGAGGGGCCACAGAAGGCCTTTCGGACCTCCCTCGGAGCTTATCGACCATCTATTGTGAGGGGCCACAGATGGCCTTTCGGACCCTCCCAGGGCTTATCGACCATCTATTCTAAGGGGTCACAGATGGCCTTTCGGACCCTCCCAGGGCTTATCGACCATCTATTGTGAAGGGCCACAGAAGGCCTTTCGGACCCCCCTCGGAGCTTATCGACCATCTATTGTGAGGGGCCACAGATGGCCTCTCGGACCCTCCCAGGGCTTATCGACCATCTATTCTAAGGGGTCACAGATGGCCTTTCGGACCCTCCAGGGCTTATCGACCATCTACTGTGAGGGGCCACAGATGGCCTTTCGGACCCTCCCAGGGCTGATCGACCATCTGTTGTGAGGGGCCACAGATGGCCTTTCGGACCTTCCCAGGGCTTCTCGACCATCTATTGTGAGGGGCCACAGAGGGCCTTTTTGGACCCCCCCCAGGGCTTATCGACCAACTAGTGTGAGGGGCCCGCGCGCTCTCGGTCCTCAACCCCTACCACCCCTCTGACCCTCGACGACGCCCGCTGTGATCATTTCCTGTTCTGGGCTCCTACACCCCACACCACCCTCAGATCCTCTGGATGCCCTGCCTGCATCTCGCCCTCGGCCCTCCAACTCTGCCCACTCAGATTGCGCGCTGCTCATCAGGGGGGCAATCAGATATATTCTCGACAGAGGGGCACACCCCGCCTGCTCTGACCCAGGGGGCCATCCGAGAACAACCCTCAAGGCCAGGGTGCATCTACCCCTCCCAACCCTCTGACCCTCATGCGTGTAGGGTCATCGCTTAAGATCATCCATGGCCCGTTCTGGGACAGTCCAACCCCGCGCCACCTCCGAACCTGTGCCCTCGCCCTTCCGTAGCCGTCGGCTGAGTCAAGTGTCTCGAACTGGATTCCCCGCTGACACCTCTGTCCCTTTGCGCGAGCCCAGGAGTGCTTCTACTCTCAGCCTTTACATCGCAATCATGGCCGCGCCGTCTTCTGCGCCTCACATGGTTGTGGAGCCTTCGGCGAACGTGGGGGACCCGATCCTCGTGCTCAACAAGAAATGGTCCGCGGAATAGGGCGGCGAGAGATACTGGGGTTTGTCACGGGGTCCCTGGGCCTCTCCCAGGGTCACACCAGCATCACTGTTCAGGGTTGTTCAGCCGTGGCGATAGTGGGTGACCCCGAGGGCAACCTTCGGTGTCTCAAACGGCCCTCCCTGAGGTTTGACCTGATGCTGGAGGGCGCGAAGACGCTGGAGATTCGGCACCAGCGCTACATCGGGAAGCGGCTCGTGGGCGAGAAGGGCGTGATCTGGGGCAGTGTCACGCTCGGCGAGGACCCCTTCCAGATCATGAACGACGCCGAGTGGAACGAGCTGCGCCCGAGGCACCGGTGGCCTGCCGACAAGATTCATCTGCCGTACGCAAAGACTTGGGCAATGACCGTGAAGGACGTCACGTTGTTCAGCTCTTCTGTCAGGTACCTCATCATCGAAGGCCAGGAAGGCACGGCGACTTTCCGAGAAATCCCAGACGGCTGGGATCCTGAGAGGAGGTACAAGAAGGCCGACTACGAGAGGTACATGATCGACCAAGGCCACCCCGCGGGCAAGGGCAGGGGGACGCGGAAGAGGCCCGCGGCGGCATCTGGCACCGCGCGGAAACGACCCGCGGCAGCAATGGACGAGGTTGATGCAGCCGACTCCGCCAGCTCCGTCGCTGCGAGGCCACAGAGAGCCTGTCGAGCTCCGCGCCAGGCCTCGGCGGCCGCCGGCGTCGCTCCGCCTCGGCAGCCAGACCTTACCGTGCCCGTGCCGCCAGACGGGAGGTGCCTCTCCTACTGCGCGCTCGCCGCTCGGCCCCCCCTCTCCCCACCTTCCCTCTCCCCCCCCCCTCCCCCTCCCTCCCTCTCCCCCCCCCCCCACGACACGCGGGTGTGGATGCGTGAGAGGACGTCAACGGCTTCATCCACGATGACCCCGACAGGGAGGCGAGCGAGCGCGAGGAGGCCAAGGCGCTCGTGGACAGGATCATTGGCGCCATGGAGGACGACGGCCTGCACCAGAAGGCCGCGCGCCTGCGGTTGGCGGGGGACGCAGGGTACCCTGGCGAAGACGAGCTCCCCTTCTACGCCAGGGTCCTCCAGGGGCGCATCGAGCTCGACGACCCAGTGGGCTACTTGCGGAAACATAATTATGCGGCGGACGACGACGTCGTCGACGCGGAGGCGCTGGAGATCTACGCCAAGTCCGTGAACGGTCGTGTTGTGCATGCTGCTCCGACCGTCGGCGGTGGCGCGCCCATCCCTGTCATCGAGTTCGGCGACGTTGGCGCGCCGCTGCTGTACAGAGTGGCGTTCCAGATGAAGACTGGTCCCGACGGCCACTCGTCGCCCCACTGGATCCTCGCCTGCTCCTACTACATGGCCAGGGCCGCCCGACCGCCGCCGAAACCTCGGGCGCAGTTCTACGACCTGGAGGCAGGGGCGTCTGGTGGCAGCGAAGACGAGTCCGACGGGTCGCAGGGTGCTGACGTCGACGAACAGGGCAACGTAGTCGGCCTCATCGACGACGATGCGGACGACGACTCGGACGACTCCTCCAACAGGCGCTTCTGGGAGGACGCGCTGGGGGACCAGGGCACCGCCACGCCCGACGCTGGTGAGGCAGCGCAAGGCACCGACACGACCGTGGCGCACTCGGAGGCCAAGGAGGCCGCAGGGTCCGACGAGCTCACCGCGGAGGAGAGACGGAAGGCACAGGAGGAGTGGGCCGACCAGCTTATCTCCGAGGGGATGCTGCAGCCGTGGGGCGAGGACGAGCTATTCGAACCCGAGGGCTACGACCCCGACGGCGACCAGGTGCTGGGCGAGGACGACCTGCCACTCTTCGACCTGGAGGACGCGCAAGACACGCAGCTACCTGACGCCGGAGGCGATGGCGATGGGGATGCTGCCGAGGAGCCACCGCCGCCCAGGGCGGCGCGGAAGCGCCCTGCCAGCAAGGCGCTGCCCGAGCATGAGGAGCAGCCGAAGCCGAAGCAGCGGCGTTGGGGCAAACACCTGTGCCCAGGCCGAGATGGAGGGCCGCTCTGTGTGTACGCCACTGACGGGCGCCCAGGCGAGAAGGCCCACGTACACCCGGCGCGGGGCGACCCGCGATGCATGTTCTGCGACGGCGACACCCTGCGGGCGCGGGACGCCGTCCGCAAGGGCCAAGACATCACCAGCGCGCTCAAGAGCCTCATGCAGTACGACCGCCCCGACCTCGTCGACGGCGCCCTCGACTTCATCGCCGCGGTGCTCGGCCAGGAGAGGCGCGACAAGTACAAGGCCAACGCCGAGCGCGCGCTCCACCGACAGCGGAAGAGGGACAACCCAGTGCCCGCGACCGACCTCCAGAGCGAGTGGAAGGAGGCGCTAGAGCATCGCGTGAGCGTGGTGCCGCGGCAGAAGAAGCAGACGCGAAGGGCCTACCCCACCTGGGTCAGGGACGACAGGAAATTCCGGCGCAACAAATTCAAGACCGCCCTGGACGACGACGTCGAGGACTGGGCGGAGCCGCAGGCCGTGGCCTTCACCAAGTGGGCGGAGCTCGCCTCCTGGGGCATGTGCAAGATCTGCAAACGCCTGGAGAAGAGGTCCTTCGCGCCCGCGGACGTGGCGGCGGCGATGATGCGCCTCCCCGACGCGGAGCGCAAGAAGGGCCGCAAGGCTGGCCAGCGCAGCGCCTGGATCAACAAGTGCAAGTACTGCGCCAGTCCGCCAGAGAAGCGAGTGGGCTACCCCGCCGTCCAGATCGAGGACATCCCCGAGCCGCTGCGCCACCTCAGCGTGGACGCACTCGAAGCGTTGAGGCCGATGGAGGTGTCCATAGGGCCGCATGCGCGGGCCGCACACGGATACAGGGTCCACACCGACATGATCGGCTTCCGCTGGAAGGCCACCGACGTCCTCACGGCCGTGAGCGAGCTCCCCGAGCGCCACCAGCGCAGGGCCATGGACGCCCTCGAGTACCTCGAGGCGCACGACGACCCCGCCGAGGAGGACTTCTCCAGCTGGGCCACGCTCACGGACTACTACCTGGCCCACCCTCAGAAGAGCGCGTACTTCGCCATCATGCGCTTGCACAACAGGTTCCTCCGCAGGAACCGCAACGACCTCTCGCAGAAGAAGCGCCGCCTCGCGATGCGCCTCGTGGAGCAGCTCGGCATCGAGACGGCCATCTGGCCCCACCTGTACCCGAGGGTGTCCATGTGCGAGACCTACGTCCGCCTGATGGACGAGCGGCGCGTGGCGCGCACGCGGGCCGCGCGACGGGCTGCGCATTTTGATGGCACCGACGACTCCTCCGACAGCGACGACGCGGAGGCCGACGGCAAGAAACGCCAGTCGCTCAAACGCAGCTACACGGCCAAGGTCTTCTCGCCCGTGATCGGCTACGGTGCCGACACCGAGCTCGCCCAGTTCGTCTACGACCTCTGGCTCTGGACGGCACTGGGGGGCAAGAAGCACGCTGCCAAGGTGCCCATGCGCCTGGCGCTGGCTGGCATGTCCTTCAGCCCCGAGTACTGGCGGACCTACCACTTCGCCCTCATCGACCTGCAGCGCCAGCTGGGCTTCCCGACCCTGTTCGTGACCCTGTCGCCGCTGGAGTGGTCCACGCCGTTCCACGTCTGGGTCGAGGACGAGATGCGGCGCACGCTGCGGTCGCGCACTTGGCTTCCGGCCGCGGAGACCTACCACCTGTCGCACGTGCTCACCCAGGCCATCGTCGGGCTGCTGACTGGCACCCAGGGGAAGGCCACCTCGCGGGAGTCTTCGGCGTGGACACACCACGTGCTTGCTGGCAAGGACGCCGAGGGCAAGCCGACGCAGCGCGTGATCACGCAGTTCGCGCGCATCGAGTTCCAGGACGGCAAGCGCAAGCGCGGCGGGCCCAACGCGCGGCACGCCTACCACGGCAGCGGCCGCCCCCACGTCCACTGCCTCGTCTGGCTGGAGAAGGTCGCCTCGATCGATCTCCCGAGCAAGGTCTCCGCCACCATCCCAGACGACGAGGAGCAGGAGCAGCTCTATCACATCGTCATGGGCTCCCAGACCTCCACGCACGGCTCCCACCCGTGGCCTGAGCGCAAGGAGGAGTCGACCTGGGACGAGCGGGGGAAGACGCTGAGGCTGCACCACACCGCCAGGGACTTGCACCACAAGCTCCGCGCCTACATGCCGGCCGTGATCGCGGGCATGAAGTCCCACATGGACGTGCAGACCTCCGATGGCCGCGGCATGCTCTTGCGCTACGTCTCCTCCTACACCGCCAAGTTCTCCGACCAGTTCTCCTCCGAGTGGCTCAATGACGAGGCCTCCGACTACGCCATCAGCCGCCGCATCCTCACGGAGTTCCACCCGCTCGAGCCCGAGATGTGGCTCCAGCTTGCCGCAGCGGAGTACTCCCAGGTCCTCACGCACGGCACGGTCAAGAATATCCCCGTGCCCGTGCCGTGGAAGGGCAAGGAGATGCCCGCGGTCGTCGAGCGCTACACGCACAGCGCCTGGCGACCCGACCACATGGGCCTCCTGGATTACGTGCGGCGCTCCAACAGCAGGGGCGGCGTGCACCGAGCGCTCCGCCTGCGCTACGCCAATCTCCAGAAGGCGAACGACCCCTCCGTGGCCAACGTCGACCTGGAGACCTGGGCCGCGCGCGTGCCCATGCGCGGCGAGGTCCTGGTGGCGGCGCGCTCCAACTCTCGCTTCAGCGACGAGTACTACGGCCAGTGGATGCTCCTCCACGTCCCCTTCCGCAGCGTGGATGAGCTTTGGCAGGATGCCGCGGAGCTCGTACCGACGGGGTACAGGCTGTTCGCCCACTGCCTTCTCCACCGCCCTGACCTTTGGCGGAGCGAGGCATGGTTGCGCGCCGACATGCAGCTGGAGGCTCACCGCGACCCGACCATCGACTCCAACGTGGCGATGATCAAGGCGCACATCACCCTCGTCGACGACTACCTGGAGGGCCGCCTCGTGGTCGGGGAAGACCCCGAGCCGCCGCGACACCACTACGCCTTCGATGGCCGATTACCACCCTCGAGCCCGAGCAGATACCCGTCGCCGATCTCATCACGAGGAGCTGGCACAGGGCGGTGGAGCTCGCCTGGCCCGACGACTACGAGGACCACAACCACGGCCTGCCCCACGACGAGGACCCGCGCCCCATCGCCGTCCTGGGGCCCCGCGGGGAGCGGCAAGTCATTCCTCACAAAGGGTCGTCATGCAAGGGACGCATCGCCCAGGGCGCCCCGCGCCCGCGTACTCCTCGCCTGCCCCACGCGCCGTCAGGTGGCGCGCTACCGCGAGGACATGCCCGACCTCGACGTCGACAGCATCCACAGGGCCTTCAACGTCTACCTTCCGGAGCAGCAGACGCTCCAGCGCATGCAGGACTTCGACCTCGTTGTCATCGAGGAGATCAGCATGGTCGAGATGTGGATCTACGAGCGCCTCCTGCGCCTCTGGGACGCGGCCGCGCGGCGCCCTGCGCTCGTCTTCGTCGGCGACTTCCGACAGCTCCGCTGGATGGACAGCCCGCGCGTCCTCGAGCAATGGCGCTGGGCCGACGTCGACGTGAGGGAGCTCAAGATCATGCGCCGCTGCAAATGCCCCATTCTCAAGAAGACGCTCGAGCTCCTCCGCACGGCCACGCCGAGCAGGCCGCAGCTCACAGAAATCATCAGGGACCATCGCGCGCCTTCGCCCATACATCGGGATGTGGGCTGGTGGGAGCGCGAGGAGCCCACGGAGTACGAGATCGGCCAGGTCTTCGAGGAGCACCCCACCACGACGTTCGTCACGATCTCCAGGGCCAAGGCGGCGTGGGTCAACCAGGCAGCCTTGCGGCACTTCTACTGGGAGGTCGAACCCCTGGGCACCATCGACGCCGACCCTGAATTCAACCCGCGCAATTTCTACGGCACCAAGCAGGTGAGCTGGGCCAACATGCGCTTGCCCATCTTCGAGGGCATGCGCGTGGGCTTCACCGCCAACATTCGCCCCGAGATCGACTTCGTCAACGGCATCGAGGGCCACGTGATCATGATGGACCACACGGGCGTCTTGGTCAAGACCACCACGGGCCACATGGTCAAGGTGCCGCCCTACACCAACCCCGAGTGGCGCAACGTATACTACCCGCTGCGACTTGCGTACGCCACCACCCTCATGAAGGTGCAGGGCGATACCCTGAAGCATATGACGCTGTGGATGGACACGCCGGGCGTGGAGGCGGCGGGATACGTGGCTTTGTCCCGCGTCCAGCATGACAGGGACTGGAAGTACGTGGGCTACCTTCAGCAGAAGCATTTCGTGCCTGCGCAGCTCTGAGCAGCGCGCACGGAGGGCGCGCAGGCGGGCGCGCGCTCGGGGCTCGGCCCGCACGCAGTGGCGGCGCGCACAGGCGCCACCGAAAAGATGTCTAAGAGGAAGCAGGGGGATCGAGGAGGAAACGCACAGACCCGATAGAGATTTCTGAGGCCGAATGAGGTGACCCGTAAGACTCGCAGGACCCAGTGGCATCTCATAGACTTGCACATGTCGTAGGACCGAACAGTTTCTGCATACATGTCATCTGGTCTGGAAGCTCGGCGGCGGGGGGGGCTTCCGCGCGGCTTTGGCCGACCCTTCGCGCTGTCGCTGGGAGTCCCGAGGCTTTGCAGCAACGCGCGCGAGGGGTCGGCCAGAGCTTCGCGGAAACCCAGGGGGCCATGTCCGTCCGCCTCCACGCGGCGGCCTCCGGGGAAGCGTAGCGACGCGACCTCGACCCGACGCGTCGGATCGCGTCGCTGCGTTTCGCGAAGGACGGAGCTCGCGCGACTACGAACTCCACAATGTGGTACACAAAGCACTGTATGTCGTACACATGAGAAAGACCGCCAAACCGACTGGAATCGTGGAGCCCTAAGAGAAAGAGAATTTCGATTACAAGTGAACCCTAAACCCTACTAGAGAAAGCCGTGGGTGGTTCGCCGCCCTAACGGGCGCGGGGTGGGAATGTGAAAAGGGGAGCTGGCCCCGTAGCCGAAACATGATTCCGCTCAACATGATGTCACCACAACACGATTACCCCACCCCCACTCCATTTTATGGGTGGGGGTGGTCTTACACGAATGATGATCAGCAAGTGCTGACAGAGGACACCCTAAACCCTAAACCCTAAACCCTAAACCCTAAACCCTAAACCCTAAACCCTAAACCCTAAACCCTAAACCCTAAACCCTAAACCCTTAACCCTTAAACCCTAAACCCTAAACCCTAAACCCTAAACCCTAAACCCTAAACCCTAAACCCTAAACCCTAAACCCTAAACCCAAACCCTAAACTGCAAGCCACGGGCGGTGCATCGTCAGAAGCCCGTGGCGCCTGGCCGAGCGATCAGCGAGTCCGCCCATGCGCGCACGCCGCACCGACGAAGCGCGTAGCGATGAGGAGGATGCGCTCCCCCGCGGGGATGCCTCGTGAGTTCTGAGAGATGAATAGAACCCTTAACCCAAAACCCAGCCGTTGGGTTCGTCGCGCGCGCCTACATCCCCTGGGGCTCCAAACCTATGAAAATACAGCATGCGGCGCCCTTTCGGCCGTCCGTGGAGCCGCAAACCATATGAAAATACATCATGCGGCGTCCTTTCGGCTGGCGCACGTCCCAGGTGCTCCCAAGCGCTCCCCAGCGCTCCCGGCACGCTCCCAGGCGCTCCCGGCACGCTCCCAGGCGCTCCCAAGCGCCCCAAGCGTTCCCAGGCGCTCCCAGGCGCTCCCAAGCGTTCCCAGGCGCTCCCCAGCGCTCCCAAGCGTTTCCAGGCGCTCCCACCGACGATCACCCGGCGATTTCGCGGGCACCGCTCCCAAGTCGCTCCCAAGCGCTCCCAGGCGCACCGGGCTCCAGGCGCTCTCAGGCGCTTCCGGCAACGCTCCAAGCGCTCCCAGGCGCTCCCTGGCGCTCCAAGCCGCTTCCAGGTACTAACACGCGCTCCTGCACGCTACCAGCGCTCACAAACTGTCTCAGGCGCTCACGGCGCCTTCCCACCGCGCTCCCATGGCGCGCTCCGGGCTCGCCGCTGCTCCCTAGGCGCCTCAGCGCCTCCGAGCGACTCCGGCTGACTTCCGAAGCACTCCCAAGCGTTCCCAAGCGCTCCCAAGCGCTCCCAGCACGCTCCCAGCACGCTCCCAAGCGCTCCCTGGCGTTCCCATGCGCTCCCAAGCTCCCGCAGGTGGTCCCAAGCGCTCCCCGGCGTTCCCAAGCGCGCTTAAGCAGTCCAAGCGGTCCCATGGCGCTCCCTAGCGTTTTCATGCATTCGCAATCACTCAGCAGCGCTCCCTGGCGGCGCTTCCCGGCGCTTCCCCGCAATGCAGGTGCTGCCGCAGCCGTGCGCGCGCATCGTAGCGAGGGGGTGCCCGACCCACCCCCTCGCGCTCCCTCTCCAGCCATGCGACATTCGCGCCGAAGGCGGCTGCGTCGACAATGCAATCGCTTCAGCGGGGGCGACGCCAACGGTCCAGCCCAATGGACAACCCACGGCCCGCACTCGCGGTGCACTCTGCGTGTCCTGTCACGCTCCCAGACGCTCCCACGTGCTTCCATCCTGGGAAAACCTCGAGGCGCTCTCTCAGCGCTCCCAGAGAGCTCTCCCAAGGCATTCCAAGATCTGCCATGGAGGTGCTGCAGCAGCCATGCACGCGCATCGTAGCGAGGGGGTGCCAGACCCACCCCCTCGCGCTCCCCCTTCCAGCCATGCGAAATTCGCGCCGAAGGCGGCTGCGTCGACAATGCAATCGCTTCAGCGGGGGCGACGCAAACGGTCAAGCCCAACGGCCAGCATGCGGCGTCCTTTCGGCTGGCGCACGCTCCAAGTGCTCGCAAGCGCTCCCAGGCGCGCCCAGGCGCTCCCAAGCGTTCCCAAGTGCTCCCAGGCGCTCCCAGGCGCCCCAAGCGCTCCCAGGCGCTCCCAGGCGCTCCCAAGCGTTCTCAGGCGCTCCCCAGCGCTCCCACGCGTTCCCAGGCGCTCCCAAGCGCTCCCCGGCGCTTTCGGCACGCTCCCAAGGGCTCCCAAGCGCTCCCAGGCGCACGGCGCTCCCAGGCGCTCTCAGGCGCTCCCGGCACGCTCCCAGGCGCTCCCAAGCGCTCCCTGGCGCTCCCACGCGCTCCCAGGTACTCCCAACCGCTCCCTGCACGCTCCCACGCGCTCCCAGCCTGCTCAGGCGCTCCCTGCGCGCTCCCACGCGCTCCCTGCGCGCTCCCACGCGCTCCCTGGCGCCTCCGAGCGCTCCGGGGCGCTCCGAAGCACTCCCAAGCGCTCCGGCGCGCTCCCAGGCGCTCCCGGCACGCTCCCAGCACGCTCCCAAGCGCTCCCAGGCGTTCCCATGCGCTCCCCAGGACTCCCAAGCTCCCACAGGTGGTCCCAAACGCTCCCCTGGCGCTCCCTAGCGTTGTCATGCATTCGCAAGCACTCGGCAGCGCTCCCTGGCGGCGCTTCCCGGCGCTTCCCCGCAATGCAAGTGCTGCCGCAGCCATGCGCGCGCATCGTAGCGAGGGGGTGCCAGACCCACCCCCTCGCGCTCCCTCTCCAGCCAGGCGACATTCGCGCCGAAGGCGGCTGCGTCGACAATGCAATCGCTTCAGCGGGGGCGACGCCAACGGTCCTGCCCCATGGACAACCCACGGCCCGCACTCGCGGTGCACTCTGCGTGTCCTGTCACGCTCCCAGACGCTCCCACGTGCTTCCATCCTGGGGAAACCTCGAGGCGCTCACTCAGCGCTCCCAGAGAGCTCTCCCAAGGCATTCCATGAGGTCTGCCATGGAGGTGCTGCAGCAGCCATGCACGCGCATCGTAGCGAGGGGGTGCCACCCCCACCGCCTCGCGCTCCCTCTTCCAGCCATGCGAAATTCGCGCCGAAGGCGGCTGCGTCGACAATGCAATCGCTCTTCAGCAGGGGCGACGCCAACGGTCTTGCCCAGCGGGCAATTCACGGCTCGCGCTCGCGGTGCGCTCTGCGTGTCCTGTCGCGCTCCCAGACGCTCCCACGTGCTTCCATCCTGGGGAAAGGTCGAGGCGCCCCCCCAGCGCTCCCAGAGAGCTCCCCCAAGGCATTCCAAGGGGTCTGCCATGGACGTGCTGCCGCAGCCATGCGCGCGCATCGTAGCGAGGGGGTGCCAGACCCACCCCCTCGCGCTCCTCCTCCCGCCTTCCGAAGCTCGCGTCGACAGCGTCTGCGTCGATGCTTGCAATCGCTTCAGCGGGGGCGACCTCAAGGCAAAACCCAAAGCCGCGGGCGGATGCAACTGCCGTGCGCGTCGGCGTCAGCGAGGAGCCCGACGGCGCGGCTACTCGCTCGAGGCCCACGGGGGCCCATGGGATTGCCGCGCCAGCGCCCTCGCAGTGCTGCTTTCCAACGCCGAAGGCAAATGCGGACCCCTGTGGATCTGCTGCGCCAGCAGCAGCCGTCTACGACGGCGGCTGCAGGGGCAGCCAGGCCAACGGCAAAAGCCAAGGGCCTACTGGAACCAGGGGCAATGCTGCGTCTGCGACAGGCCAACGCCGTAACTCAAAACCTCATGCGGCTACGCCTGGCCTTGAGGCCTCTCCTGCGCCTTCTGATTGCAATGCACACCCGCAGGAGAAGAATCCGTCCTTCGGCAAAGCCATGCGCCAACTGGGAGCCAGCCGAACGCAGCTAAACCCACGGCAAAGATTGTTGGCCATGCGACGACGCTGGCTCTTGCGCCTGCGCAAAGCGCTTTGCGCGCGTACCAAGAACGCAATGCCAAAACCGCGTTGTCGTGCTCCCCGCGGAATGTTCGCATTCGCGCACAACACGAAAGCCCCCCTTGATAGGGGGGTTGGGGGGAGAACCCCTAAACCCTAAAGGGCTTTACTGTGGGTGGTCTGGGGCGGGAGTGCAAGTTCATAGCGCGCGCGGCTTGGGCAGCGATCCCCCCCAACAACCTTGATGTGGGGGGGATCGCAGCCAGCGCGCGCATGCGCCCATGCAGGCCCTAAACCATAAACCCTAAACCCTAAACCCTAAACCCTAAACCCTAAACCCTAAACCCTAAACCCTAAACCCTAAACCCTAAACCCTAAACCCTAAACCCTCTAAACCCCCTAAACCCCCTAAACCCCCTAAACCCTAAAACCTAAACCCTAAACCTAAACTTGCCCAGGGCCGATTGGCCAGTATCCACCCACACCCCAAAAAATTTAGGCGGCAAAAGCGCCCTAACTGGCACATCGCAGCAGAGACTACCTCCTGGACGTGCGTGAATCACAGGTCGGCCCAGGTGAGTCTCGGTTGCCGTCAGGCATGGCCCGTGAGGGCCTTTAAATCCTAT